TTATTTTAGGATTCCCTATTTTTAATGTTCATACAGAGATTTCTTTAACTGAAATACCAAAGAGTTTCTCTGGTGTGAAAAACTGTAATAGTACACAGGATCCTAATGAGATAATTAATAATGTGAAATAGAAAGCAAAGGGCTAAAGGTGTGGGGAAAGTGGGAAGGGTGGGGGAAAGGTAATAAGGGAGAGGAAAAAAATATGAGAAACTGAAAAAATGGAAATAAAGTGAGTGTAAATGGGGAGGGGAGGAGGGGGTGAAGGGAGGGCAGGGACAAGGGGGAAAATGAGAATCAAGACCTATTATGTAAAGGTACAGGATCCCAATAATGAATGTAACTGTATTGTATACCTAGATTGTACCAATAAACTCAATAAAAAGAAAAAAATGTATAAGGGCCGGGCGTGGTGGCACATGCCTGTAATCCCAGCACTCAGGAGGCAGGAGGATTGCTATGAGTTCAAGATCAGCCTGGGCTACATAATGAGTTCTGGGGCAGTCTGAACTACATAATGAGAACCTGTCTCAAAACAAAACAAAACAAAATGTATTATAATAAAAGGCATTGCTATTAATGATCCTCAAAATATAGCCCCCTCACAATCATTCTTGACAATGTGTCTATTATTAGAATAATTTTTAAGTTGAACATTCACCATGTTTTTAAATTGCTCCTGTGGATTGTGTGTGTGTGTATGTGTGTGTGTGTGGTCAGTTTCAAACTGTTATTCTGGGTGAATTTTGACACCTAGAAATCTGAACTTTCTGAGATCTATACGTAAAATTGTTGTTTTTTTGTTTTTTGTTTTTTGAGACAAGGTCTCACTATGTAGTTGAAACTGACCTGGAACTCACTATGTAGCCCAGGCTGGTCTCATACTCAAAACAATCCTCCTGCCTCAGCCTCCTGAGTGCTGGGATTACAGGTGTGTGCCACCATGCCTAGCTCAGTTTGCCCATTTTGATTGGGACTTTTTTTGGAGTTCTTTATATAATTTAGATGTTATATCTCTGTCTGAGGAGTCACTGGCAAATTTTTTTCCAATTTTCTTTCTAGGTCATCTCTTCACTTTATTGATCATTTCTTTGGTTGGCCAGAAGCTTTTAAATTTGATATAATCTTGTTTGTTGATACTTTTTAATTATGTAGTGTTACTGGGTTTCTAAATTCAGGAAGTCCTTGCTTATGTCTGTGTTTTCAAGAGTTTAATATCTGTGAAAAAAGACATTTTATAATTTGTCATCTGTATGATGTGACTCTACAGTATAGTACTTTCTTTAAAACTGGAGCTTACAAATTAAATCTGGTCATTTTAATTGTTTTTTTGCACTAGCAACATAGATCACCAAGTAGCAATAAAAGTAGTTTGGCTTTTGAAAAATTGCTTTTGTTTCGTTCTTGGCATCTTTGTAGAACACATTTATTACTGATTATTGGTAATCTGTCTGGTATTACCTAAGTCCATTTCATTGTGTTTGAATGTGAAAAATATAGATTTCTGCACATCTTATGATCTCCATTTAGAGAACAGGACTTATGAGGCCCAGGAATACACATTTTCAAAAGAACATCACCAGGTTGTATCATACATTGAGCAATTCTTATTTAAAATGTCTGTACACTAAGAGTATTATTTGGGCAGCTAAAATAATCTTTAGAGTTTATTGAACTTTAGCAGTTATGTGATATAACGTCTTACCTAAATATGTAAACTTCTAATGCCATTCTGAATAAAAGACCATCTGGGCCTAATATGAATGCATCTACTAATGTCATGTACCAACTCCACACAAGGCATGTAAACATGTACTTCAAACAATATCAATAAAAAATACATAAATATAACACAAAAAAGACAGCTGATGAGTTCCACTAGTTAAATAGCTCCAAATTCTGTAGTGATAATACAGATTAAATCTAATTCTTTGAAGACAACAAACTTGTCCCCTTTTCTTTTAAGTCTTAAAAAGTTTTTCCAATTCTTTATTTTGATTCTTCAAAACCTGTATTAATATAATAGAATATTTATTAATAAAAAGGTATTATACTTTATTTCATTTTTAATGAGGATAGAGAATAAACCCAAGCCCTCTTCCACGGTAGGCAAATCCTCCAGCACTGAGCTACATTCCCAGTCCATGTATTATATTGTAAACTTTACTTTTTGAAAAGTTTGCAGAAGTAGATTTTATGATGTACATATTCTTAAAACGTTAATTAATCATTTTAATAGAGGTCACCTTTTTCCTTTTATAATTTAAAATAAGGGAGCTGGAGATGTAGCTCCATGTAGAGCACTTGGCTACCATGTGTTAGGCCCTTGTTATGGCTTGTGTTTAGATGTTTCCCCAAAGCACCATGCAGTCGTAGGTGGGGCTGTTTCAGAGGTGGCTGAAAATAGCGTGTGATTGATTCACAGTACTATGCTAGAATTAACAGTGCTAAGATTAAGGGTGGGTGATTATAGAATCGGTCCACTGATTGGTTTGATATCACCTTAATCCCAGCAGCCTGGATATAATATAATGGACAGAAAGAGGTTTGTCTTGTTCTTTGCTTGTTTGCTTTGCTGCCTTCTGCCCTCTGTGAACTGTTTCTCCTCTATGGTGCCTGTCTGCCATGCCACACTGCCTTAGAGTCAGCTAATTATGGATTCAAACCTCTACAGATTGTGAACCACATAAACCTTTCATCTCTTAACTTTGGGTGTCAAGTATTTTGTCTCAGCAGTGAAAGAAATAACTAATAGCCCTGTATTCAATCCCTAGAACTGCAAAAAAAATAATAATAGTAATAAAATATAACATGAGATCTAGATTTATGTCAAAAAGGAACTTACTTGAATAGAAAGTGATCAAGAATAATCTTCAAAAATTGTTGCTTTACATGAATATTGGAAATTGCTGGATTTATATTTGTTTTCAAGCTTTTTAAGGTACATTTAAAAATATCAGTTTCTCTCAATACATAATGCTTTTGTACAAAGACAGGTATTTCCATCCAGAAGTCCTTTTCTGTACTGCTTTGAAAGTATAATTGTGGTATAAAGAATACTAAATATGGGCCACGGGTTTAGCTCAGTGGCACTGCACCTGCCTCATAAGCACAAGGTCCTGAGTTCTATCCCTGGGAAGAAAAAGAATGCTAAATGCTAATTTTTTCATAGTGCATGTGTCTATTTTAAATACAGTTCATGAACTTTTATGAATCAAATGATAATCTTAGAGATTCTGTTATTCAATTTTTGTCCTTTTCTTTCAGAACCATAATATAAGGTTCAGAATACTCGTAATATACTTGCCCAGAGTCATTCCATTTATTGGCAGAGCTTGAAGTCAAATCCAGTCAAAATTTTATACTGTTATTTATCTTTCCTCTATAAACTGCTTTTAGGTATCCTATAGTCTTTGATTAGGTTTAACTTTTCAGTTTAAGGTCATTTCAAATCATTTTTTTTTTTTTTAGATTTTTTGAGACCGGGTCTCACTATGTAGTTGAGGCTGACCTAGAACTGACTATGTAGCCCAGGCTGGTCTCGAACTCACAGTGATTCTCCTGCCTCAGCCTCCCAAGAGCTGGGATTACAGGCATGCGCCACCATGCCCGGTGATTTCAAATCATTTTGAATAAATCAAATCAAATTTCCCAATTATATAAGTTTAGAGATGTATTTCTCCAGGGACAAGATTTAGCCTCAAGATATAATCAAAATCATACTTCAGATATAGCAAAGCATTAAAGCATTTATGCATAGTAGAAAAAAAGTAACATTTTCAATATGAATAGACTTGATTTTTTCTAATAAGATAGCTTTTATATTTCACATTAAAACATCTAAATGAAACAATTTGATGTTTAAAGAATCTTATGAAGAGCTTGACTTTTACAATATTTTCTTAGTATTTCTTAGGCTTAACTGCTGTTTTTCAGTATAAAATGATTGCATTTTTTGAATCCTACTGTTCTGTTCATGGGAGATAAAATAACTATTCCTCTGATCTTTTTTTTCCAATTATTTTACTGTGTCCAAGTATATTTTTAATATAACTAGCCTTCAAGCCTGCACTTGTCAGTTTTTATTTATTGGGAACAAAAGAATGCTTACAAAGAGTGTCAGAAGCAACTCATCTACTTTTAGGATGATATTCTAATGCTTAGACAGTCATAATGAGTGTAAACTCTGATAACCATCTTAACTATTCAATTGATGGAGAAACAAAACTTTATCTGTAAAATATATATATACAAACACACATGTATATATTTATGAATAAATAAATAAGTGTAGACGTGTACCCACACATGCTGTTGCAAGAATAAGAATTTCTGGCCTTCTTAGGAAGAAAGAGATCTGCTTTAAATTTTTTTTTTAATAGAAGAGAGTACTCCCTGACTTCTACTTTAAGTTCTATGCAGTACACTTTTTATATTAGTGACATTGTATTTTTTTGAGATCTCTTCTTACAACAATTGCAACTAAGAATTCAAAGCTTTTGGTATTGGGCGCAATTTTAACCAGTAATGGTCATACTTAGAATTGCTTTTTGTTGTGAAATCAGAACACTGTGATATAGCAACACTTAGAATTTGTGGCCAGTAGATATGAGGAAATAACTCGCGTTCACCAATTGTTTCCCAGTCATATTTTTACATGCTGTCTTCAGATTTCATGTGGTCATCAGAAAATCAGACAGAATGAGCCAGTTCTGTCTGGTAGAGCCCTGTAAAAAGTACCAGTTTCTTTCAGGGCCAACACTGACCCTTTGCTTTTACTTACTAAAGTCACCCATTATTTTCTGGAATCTTTTTAAAATGAACATTGTGTCATTACCTAGTCCTTGTTTTTGTGAATATGGAAGTAGCAGCTAAGAGATTACAAGAAGAAAAGAGATGGTTGAATAAAGGATAAAGAAATGGGATTTGGATGTTTCTAATTTTTATTTCTAGTATTATCTTTTAATAATTGAGTTTCTGAGTGATTATTTTGTTTTCTCTAGGTGATGGGAATTGCAGTGATACTAGAGGCTTAGAGATTGCGATAAAGCAACGTGTTGATGATGCACTCACGTCAAGACTTCCAATGTTTTACTTAGTCAACAGGCCTCATATTACCTTGGTGCCCTCTGCATACCCATTTCAAATGAATTTGGAATATAAATCTCTGAGTATGAACTGGGCACAATGGGACCATTATTTGGAGATTGTGGATGGCCTAAATGGGGAAATCACTGAAAGGTTAGAATTACTAATTTGTTTTAAAATTATATATTGAGCAAAAAAAGGAGACATTTTTATCACAATTTTTATTATTCGGATGCTATTGAATTTTAAACAAGATGTATTCTTAATTGATTTGGAACTTATATTGCAGGCATCATACACACTAACTTTTCTTTTTCTGATGAGAAAACAGGCCTGGAGAAGTTACATGGCTTACTGAAGTTATATAGTCAGTGGTAAAACCAGTGTTCAAACACATAGAACCTGGCTCCAGAACCATTGTTTTTTCCAGGCGTCACCAGAAGCATTAAATTATATAATATATTCTAAAAATTCAATTTCTTCTACTGAAACTGAATCTCTAGGAATTTGGACTTGGGAATCTACATTTTTTTTTATATGTCTTCCCAAAGACTATATAATGTTAAATGTAAGAACTACTTAATACAAGTATTATACGATGTTTTACTGCTTTCTTATGGAATAAACCTGTACAATGGGTGTTTTTTTTTCCTTTTACAGGTAAATTAAGGCTCAAGGTAGACTAGATAGATATATTGCCTAAGATCACTCAAATAGTAAAGGACGTAGCTTTGATTCTGATCTGGACATTTTGTATCCAAAAGCCTTGTTTCTAACACAATGCTCTGTCCCTTCTAGACATGTTTCTAATATTTCTACAACAAATTATTTAAAAACTAAAACCTTTCTTTTGGTGTGAACATACATTTATAATGAAGTAATGAATAATGTTAAAAGTTAAATGCTTTAAAATTGCTTTCTCAAAGGACAGGATTAAATTAAGGCAACATACAGCTGCTGCTTAGTGAACCCTGCCAAGCATAATAAGAATTATTTCAACTAGGATGATTATACTATTTGATCACATATCAGACTCAACAACACATATACAAAATATATTTCCTATGAAAGATGTTTAAAAGCTGTTTGCTAAAGACATAAAATAATGGTATAACAAAGATAAAATTAGTAAATGTGAAATAACTAATATTTTATTACTAAATATTTGCTAAGTGAATACAAACAAAACAACAGGAGATGTAATCTAAATATTAGACAAGGTGTAATTCAGCCTGGAGAGGATTACAATAAGGAAAGAAGAACACTTCAGTAGTATAAAGGGTATAACTCATAAGAAGAAGACAGAATAGGTATGAAAACAAATGCAGTAAGTTACATACTATCCCCATTTATAAAGCAGAAATTAAAGATGATAAGGGGAAATAGAAACTACTGGCAAGAGAGTAATCCACTCTTTTAGTTATTGGTAGTTCAAGTAAACAAAACAGGAAAGGATTTAGCCATTTGAAATATATATTTGATTAATTTATTCTGAACTGTATGATAAAAATATAAAACACAGCTTTTCAAGAATTGACAGAAACTGGCAAAAATTGACCATAAGTTGGGTCACAGAAGGAATCCAAAAAGGAGTAATGTAAGAAATATTCTCTGATTATGATGAGATGAAGCTATAAGCAGTCAGAGCAGTAGAAGCTGTTTTCACTGAAGAAAAAAGTTCTCTGACTAATACCTCAAAAGAGAAAAACAAACTTAAATTATAGAATATTCAGAAAACAAAGATGTTGAAAATGTTACCCGTCGAACTTTTAGCATACACAGTTAAAGCAAGTGGGAAGGTCAGCCTTAAATTTTATATTAATAAACAATGAAAGTAAAGTAAACATAATAAAAGAATAAATGAAGTAGAAGTCAAGGAAAGGGAGCCAGGTCCAGTGGTCTACACCTGTAATCCCAGTACCTGGGAACTAAGGCAGAAGGATCACAAGTTTGAGCCGAGGTTAGGCAACTTAACTACTTAGCAAGACCCTCTCTCAAGAAAAATTTTAATAGGACTGGGGATGAAATTCAGTGAAAAGGTTCAATCCCCAGTACTGAGAACAAAAAGTCAACCATACTTATTTACGAGTAGATCTGAATGTTCCATTGTAAATAGCCCTGAAGCTAGGAAGCATGGAGGATTTGGAAGTTTTTACAATCTCTCAAAACTAATGAAATGATGCAGCAAAAATAGGAAAAAAAAAAGTATGATGTATGGACTCACTTTTATTGGAGACACAAATTACATATATACATCTATATGTAAATATACATCTACACGTCACAAATTACATATACATCTATATGGAAATATACATCTGTGTGTACATCTCTATGTACATTTATGTGGAGGGTTGTGAAGTAAATATGCATGTTACTTTTGTGTTAAATTAAAACTTGGTTGCAGAGAAAGCACTGTACCATTGCATGAGAAATTCATTTATGTATATACCCATGTAACCATCACCCTTATCAAAGTATATTACATTTTTATCATCCTAGAAAGTATTTCCATTAATATCATTGTAGAGTAATTTTGCTTTGAAAATAAATGTACCAACTGTCAGTCTTATATATTAGTTTTTGATGTATTACTATAATAACAAACTAATTTAGTTTAGGATAAATTAGTTTCAGAAAGTAAATGTTTAGAATGATTTTTATATAACAAGTTTCAGTACTTGTACGTAATTGAGATGCATAAATATTTTAGTCTTTGATTTTAATCCTTACAGTTGACAATATAAATCATTGAATAATGGTTGATGAAAGTTTCCTTCTTTTCTGCTTTAGTTCCCCATTTAAAAGTGGTGTGTCAATGGCAAGTCGGCTCTGTAAGGCTTCAATGTTAAGTAGATTTAATCTGATTGCCAAGGAGGCAAAAAGAGACGATTTATTTAAAGCGAGTACATATCATGCAGCTAAGGTAAGATCCTTAAAGAACAAAGTTGATCATAGAAATGAAAATAAAGACAGTGTTGTGGTAATTTATGTTGATTTTACATAGCAAAAGTTTATGGAGGGCCGTGGATTTAGCTCAGAAGTTCGATGGCCTGCCTTGCAAGTGCAAGGACCAGAGTTCGATCCCCGGTACACCCCCCTCCCCACACACACAAAAAGTTTATGGAATAGTTCCTGAATATAAGATATTACCATGTAATAGTTCAATTAATTTTTAAATGAATATGCCAGAAATTGAATATATAAATAAGTGTTGCTGCTTAAAATAGTATACTTACTCTAGTATACTTACTCTGACAGTGTTATCCATAAGTTTTTGTCATACATGGAGAAACAAGATGATGATAAGTTGTTTTTTTTTAATGTGGATGACGTTGTATAAAGCATAGAATATTAAATATCCTAAAACAATAGCCATGTAAGTTAATTTTCCTATCTTAAAATTGTTTAAAAGTTTAATTCCAGCATTTAATTTGGACCTGATTTAATACATAGTGAAGATAGCCTTTTCTGTTTTTAAAGTATTTGTGTTTTATTACAAATATAATACATGTTTCAAGTGGAAACTTTGGAAGATTTTTTTTTCTCTTTCACTGTGAATTTATTGTCAATATATCAGAATTCTATTCATTTTTGAGTATCAACTTTGTATCCTGAGTATTGACACTACTGAATTTGATTATTAAATCTAGGAGTTTTTGGTGTCTTTTTTATAGAGTACCGTGTCATCTGAAATAATGATAATTTAATTTCTTCCTTTCCTATCCTTATTCTTTTCATTTCTCTCTCTTATATAATTACTCCAGCTAACATTTTTGAACTATATTGAATAGGAGTGGTGATAGTAGATATCCTTGTCTTGTTCCTGATTTTAGAGTGAAAGCTTTCAGTTTTTTACCACGTTGTACACTGTTAGCTGTTGGTTTGTCATAAATGTCTTTTATCAGATGTGATAAAGATTATTCCATTATGTATAGGATTTTTATCATGAATGGGTGTTGAACTTTGTCAAATGCTTTTCCTCTATCTATGGAGATAATGATACGGTTTTTGTCCTCGGTTCTGTTAATGTGGTATATTACATTTATTGTTTTGCATATGTGAAACTCCTTTTAATGTTGTTTTATGACCTCCTCTCATGAATCATAAACATTCTTAATGACATAAAGAATTCTAAATCCTTTTCAGAAGGTTTTAAATGTACTTTTCCCAGGTCCATCAGGAATCCCCATCTATGGAAGCCTCTTAACTGTGTCATAATCAGAAAGACTTAAAAGTTCAAATTACTCTTTTTCCCATGGGCTGAAGAATAGATATTATGTAGGCAGACATAACAGCAAAATTAATATTGTATCACCATCACAATTCTATTTTTGTTTATTAGTACATTTTAGGTATATAATACAGTTACATTCATCATTGGGATCTTGTACCTTTACATGACTTATCTTGGTTCTTATTTTTCCCCATTCCTCAGCCCTCCCTTCACCCACTCCACCCTTTCCTGTTTACAAAGACATTGTTTCAGTGTTTATATTTGAGGGGGGTCTGACTTTTTAAAAATTCTTTGTATATTCTAAATAGTAGACCTTTGTCTGAGGAATGGCTGGTGAAAAATTTTCCCCACATTGTGGGTTGTCTCTTAGCTCTGCTGGTGATTTTGTTGGCAGTGCAGAAACTTTTGATTCCATTGAAGTTGTTCTTTCTTTGTGCTAGTTCCCATACTTTTCATACTATTGAGGATTTGTTCATAAAATATTTTCCTATGCCAATATCTTCAAGAGTTCTACCTAATTTACCTTCCTGCAAGTTTAGTGTTTCTGTTTGGACATTGATATCTTTCATCCACTTGGATTGTAGTTTAGTGCATGGTGAAAGATAGGGGTCCAATTTTAATCTTTGGCAAGTTGAAAGTTGAAATCCAGTTTTTTCTACCCCATTTATTAAAGAGACTATCTTTCCTCCAGTGAGGATGGTTGGCTCCTTTGTGAAGGATGAGGTATCTGAGTATGTCTGGAGTTGTTTCTGTGTCTTCTAATCTATTCCACTGATCCTTGGGTCTGTTTCTTTGCCAGTACCATGCTGTTTTATCATAGCAGCTTTGTAGTATAGTTTCAAATTGGGGATTATGATACCCCCTGTCATGTCTCTGTTGCCTAGGATGACTTCTGCTATTCTAGGTCTCTTCTAATTCCAAATGAATTTTTGGATTGTTCTCTCTAGTTCTGTGAAATACATTGTTGGGATTTTAATAGGGATTGCATTGAATCTGTATAGCAGTTTTGGAAGTATGGCCATTTTCACTATATTGATTCTTCATAACCAGGAACAAGGGATATCTTTCCATTTTCTTATATCCTCTTCAATTTCTTTTTTCAGTGTGTTGTAGTTCCCAATGTATAGATTTTTTGATTTCTTTGTTAGATTGATTTCTAGATATTCATTTTTTGGATGCTATTATGAAAGGGATTATTTCCCTAATTTCACTCTTAGAAAGTCTGTTATTTGTTTATAAGAAGGCTATTGATTTTTGAGTGTTGACTTTGTTTCCAGCTATTTTACTGAATCTGTCAATTAAGTCTAGAAGTCTTTGGTGAAGTTTTTTTGGGTCTTCTATGTGGACTATTATGTCATCAGCAAATAGTGACAGTTTAACTTCTTCCTTTCCTATCTTTATTCCTTTTATTTCTTTCTCTTGTCTAATTGTTGTGACTAATGTTTCCAAAACTATATACAACAGGAGCAGTGACAGTGGAGATCCTTGTCTTGATACTGATTTTATTGTGAAGGGTTTCAGTTTTTGACCATTTAGTCAGTGTTGGCTGTTGGTTTTTCATAGATAGGCTTTATCAAGATGAAGACCATCTATTCCAATTTTCTGCAGGCTTTTTATCATGAATGGGTGTTGAATTTTGTTGAATATTTTTTCTGCATCTATTGAGATGATCAAATGGTTTTTTTCCTTGACTCTGTTAATGTAGTGTATTATGATTTATGTATGTTGCACCATCCTTGCATCCCTGGGATAAATTCAACTTGGTCAGGGTGTATGATCTTCTTGATGATCCTCTGTATTCTGTTTGCCAGTATCTTATTGAGGATTTTTGCATCTATGTTCATGTTACTCTTGTTTTTTTTCTTTTTTTTTTTTTTTTTTTTTTGTTACCAGTGATTGAACTCAAGTCCTTGCGTTTGCAAGGCAGGCCACCGAACCGCTGAGCTAAATCCCCAGCCCAGTCTGTAGTTCTTTTTGGTTGGGTTTTTCCCTGGTTTTAGAATTAAAGTAGAACTTGCTTCCAGGAATGAATTTGGAAGTATTGCTTCCCTTTCAATTTCATTGAAAAGTTTAAAGAGTAGTGGCACTAGTTCTTCTCTAAGGGTCTTGTACAATTCACCAGTGAAGCCATCAGGACCTGGGCTTTTCTTTGTTGGTAAAATTTTTAATTATGTTTTCAATTTCACTGATCGTAATTTGGTGTTTAGAATTTTTATATTTTCTTACTTTGGTAATTCACATTTATCTAGAAATCCATCCATTTCTTTTGTATTTTCCATCTTATTGACTTATAGGTTCTCAAAGTAGGATGATCCTCTGGATTTCTGCTGGGTCCGTTGTAATTTCACTCTAGTTGTTTGAATTTGGGACCTTTCTTTGCCTTTTTTTGATAAGGTTGTCTAAGGGTTTGTCAATTTTGTTTATTTTTTCGAAGAACTAACTCTTGACTTCATTCATTTTTTTGTTTTGTTCTTTTAGTCTGCACTGCATTGATTTCTGCCCTGGTCTTTATAATTTCCTCCCTTGTATGAGCTTTGGGTTTATCATGCTCTTCTTTGTCTAGATGCTTAAGGTTCAGCATTCAGTTGTGTAATTGTGCTCTCTCTGTTTTCCTAATATGCGTATTCAGTGCTATGAATTTCCTTTGTAAGACTGCTTTCATGTGTCCTATACATTCTGATATGTTGTATTGTCATTGTCATTTAGTTGTAGGAACTTTCTGACTTCTTTAATTTCCTCTGTGACCCATTGGTTTTTCAAAAGTTTGTTGTTCATTTTCCATGTGTTCATGAAATTCTTACAGTTTCTTTTGCTACTGATCTCCAGTTTCATTGCACTGTGGTCTGATAATATGATAATATACATGGGACAAATTCAATTCCTTTGCACTTACTTAAACACGTTCTGTGAGCAAGTATATGGTCTGTTTTGAAGAACAACCCATGTGCAGCTGAAAAGAATTTGTATTCTGATTTTGTGGGTTGGAACTCTGTGTTAAGGTCACTTATTAAACATCTGTTAAGGTCACTTGTTCAAGAGTTTGATTGAGTTCTAGTTTCATTGTTTATTTTTTGTCTAGTTGACCTACCTATTTGTGACAGTGGGGTATTGAGGTCCCCAACTACTATTATAATTGTGCTTATTTGGTTTTTCATGTCCCTTAATATTTTTTATATAATTGGGGGCATTAGTTTGGTGCATATATATTTATGATTGTCATCTCTTCTTGTTGGATTGTTCCCTTTATGAGGATGTAGTGACCTTTGTCTCTTTTAATTAGTTTTGGTTTGAAATTTATTTTGTCTGCAAATAAGATAACTTCCTCTGTTTTTTTCCAGGTTCCTTTCACGTCAAGAACTGTTTTCCATCCTTTTACTTTCAGCCTATGAGTTTCTTTTTGAACTAGATGTTTCTTGTTTACAGCATGTTGTCGGATCTTGCTTCTTGACCCATTCTGCTAGTCTGTTTCTTTTGATTAGTAAATTGACACCTTTGACATTGATGGTTATAACTGATATATATTGACTTATCATTGTCATGTTAATGTTGTTGTCTCTTATTTAATTTTCTCCCTCTCTCTTTCTTGTCTATTGAATTTGGTCTGTTGGCCATATGGAGTTGTGACCTTCATTACGTTGTTCTAGGATATTTTAAAAAATTGTTTGGATTGCTGGTTTGGTATTCATGAA